CCATTTCTGCAACTTAAATTAGACTAAATAGTACATTTACCTACAGTTAGGGTACAATTGGCAGACGCTTAAGGGTACGCACTAGTGACAAGTAATTGTATCCGCAAAGGTACAAACTGGTACTTTTTTGGCAGTGTGGAATCAGGACTTATACAGATAAGAAACGAGAGGAGGCCATTCGGCCCATCGAGCTCGATGGTATTATCCCCAACTAGCTGTCCAAACCCGCAGTCAATCTGGACATTGCTGCGTCCAATTTCTTGTAATTCCTCATTCTTTTAATCACCTTTCACCTCTGAATCGAACACAAACTATCCATAATTCACCATTTCTTCCTGAGATGGATTACTGGGATTCACTGTTTCCTTTCTGGACCATTAAGTCAGAAATTCTACACAGCCCTGACATCACCAAGACGATGGTTAGTAACTGTGCATGCTAATAGAGGGTTTTGCGATTCCTATTTTTGGAGCATTCATCTTCTGTGAATAAGGAATTGTTTACACTCTGTGTAAAGGGTCATTCCTCCTCCAGTAATTTCCAAGAGAATGGAGTAATCATACCTTTTCTGCCCCAACACCAAATAAATGACTGGGTAAGCGATTACTCATATCACCTCGCTCTCCCGTTTTTCCTCCATAATCATGTGACGGCCCTGTGTCGTGTTTCAGTAGGCAGACTGTACTTTAGAACACCCTACCACCAGGAAGTACAGGCCACGGTAACACTCTAGCGGTGCCCTCACATGAATTAAGTCCCCCAGTTTCTTCCCCAGTGCTTGTCCCCCCCCCACCCCTAATTCTTCATGGAATTGCAGAGTTCGACTGAATCCCAAAGTTACAGCCATCAGAAGGCACATTAGTGTGGTATGGAGGTTTGCCTACGTCGTTTATGTCGTCTGTCACAATTCTGAACAAGCTAGTTGAAATATCACGGAAGAGTGGACTTCGTTATTAGAGAAGCCTTTGAAATCGGCCCAGCCATTACTGAAACACTTCTAATGTTTTGCTTATGTGTATCCAGCTGGATCTAAGGGTCTCCAAGACCATATTTAGAAGCAGAGAAAGGGAAGTACCAAGATCTCCCCCACGAGCTGTCAGGTCAGTGCCAGGCTGAGAGGCCCCTTGTCCTCAGGAGCCAGGGCTGTGAATCTGTGCCATGTGCACACAGGTACAGCACCAGTCCTGAGTGCTGCACATATCTGACCCTGAGCTCTGCACAACCCCAGGCACAGATGAGAGAGCAGGATGAAGCATGGGCCTCTGGGCTTCATCATGGTGACACGTGTTTAACCTTGTCTTGAGCCCGCAAGCTTGGATGGGGAAGCACTGCACCAGGGCACAGTCACACCTCAGGTGACAGTACGGCGACACATTGTCACGCCTTATGGTACAGCTGTACTCTGTCACACCTCAGTGTATGGTTCAGTTATACTATGGCCCACCTCAGAGTATGGTACTGCTATACTACAGTACACCGCAGAGTAAGGTATAACTATTCTCTGTCACACCTCAGTGCACGGTATAGCTATAGTACAGTACATCACACATCAGAGTATGGTACAGATATACTACAATACCACGCAGAGTATGGTACGACTATTCTCTGTCACATCTCAGTGCACGGTATAGCTATAGTACAGTACATCACACATCAGAGTATGGTACAGATATACTACAATACCACGCAGAGTATGGTACGACTATTCTCTGTCACATCTCAGTGCACGGTATAGCTATAGTACAGTACATCACACATCAGAGTATGGTACAGATATACTACAATACCACGCAGAGTATGGTACGACTATTCTCTGTCACACCTCAGTGCACAATACAGCCATACTACATCACACCACAGAGTACAATACAGCTATACCCTGTTACATCTCAGTATAAACTAAATAAGGCTGTTGGGCAAACAAATATACAGAGGCTGGACAATGAAACTGAAACACAGGTCAAAATGGTGTTTTAGGTTTCACAGCTATATATACACAACCTGGTGGCCAATCTTCACTGACTACACATTCCATCAGTAAGAGCAGAGTGTGAAGGTTGAATTAGCAGAGCAATAACACTGCTGTACATAAAATATTACAAAATAATGGGAGACATATTGGAGTTCAAAAGATGACAAATTGTTGGTACACAGCTTGCTGGTGCATCTGTGAGCAGGTCAGCAAATCTCTGGGAATTTATCGAGAGCCACGGTGCCCAGGAAATTGTCCTAAGGGACGTCCGGGTTCTAACCTGGATTGTTTCCAAAAAATATAAAACCTCAGCTGCCCAACTCAGTGCAGAATTAATGCGCACCTCAACTTTCCTGTTTCCACCAAAACTGTTCATCAGGAGCTCCACAGGGTCGATATTCATGGTCGGGCTGCTATAGCCAAACCTTTGGTCTCTCGGGCCAAAGACAAACGTTGGTTTCAATGGTGCTAGCAATGCAAATATTGGGCCGTGGGCAATGTGAGACATGCATTGTTCTCTGATGAGTCCACCTTCACTGTCTTTCCCACATCAGGGAGAGTGACGGTGTGGAAAAGCCCCAAAGAGGCTTATCACCTGGACTGTTGTACCCAAAATGCAGCACGGGGGTGGATCAGTGATGGTTTGGGCTGCAATATCATGGCATTCCGTATCATCACTATTTGATCTAAATGAGTCCATGTCTGCCAAGTACTACTGAACCATTCAGGAGGACAATGTTTACCCAGTGGTTCAAACATTGTACCCTGAAAGTGGTGCCATGTATCAGGATGGTAATGCACCAATACACACGGCAAGACTGGTGACAGAGTGGTTTGATGAACATGAAAGTTGAACATCTCCCATGGCCCGCACAGTCACCAGATGTGGTCTGCAGATGTATTTTGGCTGGTTTTGGAGGAGCGAGTCAGGAAGCGTTTTCCTCCACCAGCATCATGTCATGACCTGACCACTGTTCTGCGAGAGGAATTGGCTCAAAATCCCTCTGGCCACAGTGCAGGATGTGTGCCTGTTATTGCTAGATGAATTGATGCTGTATTGGAGGCCCTACACCATACTAATAAATTATTGTGGTCTAAAACCAGGGGTTTCAGTTCCATTGGCCAGCCACTCTATCATTGTGTTGGTTGGGCGGTGATCACATGGTATGACATCACTAATGTCCCCCACAAATAAGGACAGCTGTGTGAGACCTTTAGTTGACTTCTCCTGTTCGATGTTGCAGCGCACTGTGAGGGAACAGGGAGGTGACACACTGTTTTGCAAGGAATTCGTGGGAAAGGCAGCACGGTGGTGGTGGGGGGGGGGGGGGGGGGGGGGGGGGGGGGGGGGGTGTCCCTTTTGTTTTGGGTTCTCATGTCTTGCTAGTTTTTAAAGTCATGCAGGCAAATCAGCAAACCTTCAAAGAGTAGCAAATATTGTGCAAAGTGGTGTTTATCTCTTCAGAGTGTGCAAATATGGAACAGACATTTCACCAGAGGGTACTATAGTAAGCCAGCAAAGTCAGCTAGTCCTTACAAAGATCTGTATCTGTATACCCTGTATATTCATTCCTCACACAGTGTTTGTAGACATCCTACATCATCTGCAGGGGATCACTTTACCTCAATCGTAGCTGAAGCATATTAAGGGCCAGCATTTTTGCTGGCCGTCCGTCTGTAAACTAATTTTCCCTTTATGGAGCTATTTTGAGCTCGTAGGCATTATTTAGTTCTCAGTGGAACTTGGGAAGAAAAAAAAACTGTATGTTTCCCCGGAGGAATGTTTCCAGGATTTGTGCCAGCGTGGACATAAATAAAAATACCTAAAATCGTGACGCAGGAATTTTTTTTTCCCTCGATGATTTTCAAGAGAGCTGTTTACGGGGAAAGGCTGGCGAGTTTTAGCGATGTCGGTCTCGGGATAAAAAACGAGCTGCAAAAAACAATGTTTGCACTGTCCTTTATTATTGTAAGAATAAAAATCTATATCTGTATCGCTTTGACTCTCTGTGCATGTTCCCTTCCCCGACGTGTCTTTTTATCCCCACCATTTCTACGATCTTTTTTTTGACATTTTTATAACATTCGCCACTTATTTCTACTTCTTCCCACTTGGGTGCAGCCCTGGGATGTCCCCTCTTGGTTTGCTGAAAGCTCTGCAGTGTCACCGGCGCTGGCAGGGGGAGATAAATGGGCTTACAGGAAATGGGGAATATGTTTAGACTCATATCGGGGGACCTGTTTCTATGCGGAGTCCCGCACTTCATCACCCCTGCCATCCCCGGTGCAGGGCGGTAATCTCCTTCTCTTTCGCTGATGGAATAGCATCCTCACTAGTGGCACTGATTTTTATGACCAGAGAGCTGCGTATCCCTGTTATTTTGTCGTTTTAATATTGGGAACGTCCATAATTAAAAAAAACAAAACGACATTTATACATAGATTTTTGTCACCGCTAGTGAATGGATAAGCAATGAAAAATAATCACCCATCCATCCAACTTCCAAAACCACTTCTAATAGGTCATAGTGCAGGTGACACCTTGAATGGAACACAGATCCATCCTAATTCACACACTACTACACGCTATTAATTAAAATAATTACCACTAATAATTATGATGCTAAGGATGCATCTAATACTAAGTTAACATGATAGCTTGAATGCGAGTCAAAGGGATCATTTTTCAAATTTTTATTACCCCCTTAATACCACCTTTTCTTCAAATGTTCAAATGTTCCATACCATTACTGCATCAGACCTCTGAAGGGTCCATTCCCAGTTTGCTACTTGGAAAGTGCCATTCAGTGTAAACTTGGGAAGATCTTGGTCCCTCCCCAAGAGTCCCAATCTAAGTCCCTGAGTGGCCAGAGCAGTGGGGGCCAGGGTAACGGCTGTCGGCCAACAGCTGCAAGGGATGACAGGGGCACAGAGAGGGACTGAGGGACAGAGAGATACAGAGAGGAACTGAGGGACAGAGAGATACAGAGAGGAACTGAGGGACAGAGAGATACAGAGAGGAACTGAGGGACAGTGAGATACAGAGAGAAACTGAGGGACAGAGAGATACAGAGAGAAACTGAGGGACAGAGAGATACAGAGAGAAACTGAGGGACAGAGAGATACAGAGAGGAACTGAGGGACAGAGAGATACAGAGAGGAACTGAGAGGCAGAGAGAGTGAGAGACACAGAGAGAGTAAGAACCTAAGATACAGGCAGATCCTAGGATGCACTGAGATTATGACCCTGAGACACACAGGGACAGATCTGTTGTGACTACAACGGCTGCGACTCAGGGTGAGGACCCTCCTCTGAGTCCGGTGGCACCAGCGATGCTGTGGACAGGCAGCCAAACCACCTGGGCTAGTGTTCCACAGCTTGTGGTGTCACGCAAGGCAGCAGAGCCCGGGAAGTGACAAGGAGTCACCCACAGGGGACCAGGAACCAGCACGGGCCAGGTACGGCTTCTGGTGGACCACGTTAACAGATCCATCACCCTCTGCTGAATACAGGTAGGAATAAATCTGTTTTTTACAGGTAAACAATACATTATAGTATATGTGACTAATTCATTAATCAATCCTTCCAAAAGGATGACTTTGAATAGCTCTCCCATACATACATACCTCTGATCAGCTCAAGATACCTCCAAATGTATATTTACTTTATCACTAATTAGTCAATATTAGTTTACAGAATAAAAAAAAAAATCAAATATTGTGGAAAATGATTACATTTTGATTATATCAGTATAGCCTTCAGTCTCCTTTCTGCATCTGTGTGACAGAACAGCAGTGTTGGGGAAATTACTCACAAAAATAAACCATTAAAGACAGAGGTAGAAAGTTCAGGTCCAGAGAATACAAATCCAGACCAAGGTTTTGTTTCAACCAACCAGTTGAGTATAAAGAGTCACAGTCACAGAGTACAAAACTAGTTTGTTGAAATAAAACCTTGGGCTGGATTTTTACTTTCTGGACCTGAACTTTCCACCTCTGTCTTTAATGGAATACTTTTGTTAGTAAGTTAGAAAGTTCCCCACACTGTAGAACAGGTGACGATCCGTGTGACTGGCACACTAGCATGTGGCATCGTCATTTGTAAGCAGTTTCCCCGCCATCTGAGGCAGCCTGCAGTGGCACATGAAAGAAAGTCAAATGAATTTCAACCAATCAGCCATCAGGCCTTCCCCACCAATCCTACTTCACACAACTGTGGAAAAAGTCAATGAGGTTACCTTCTCTCTCACAACCAAAGCCAGGGTGCTCAGTTCATCTTCTGGCAGTTTTAGATCGAGTGCATTTTTAATTTAGATCAAGAGTGTCCAATCATATCCAGAAAGGGCCATTTTGTATGCACATTTTCACTGCAACTCCCTAATTACAGTACTAATTAGAGGACTGATTGTCTGAAGAGTTCTCACGCCTGGGTTTGAACAGCTGACCTGAAGGTTATCCCAAAAACCTGCACACACACTGGCCCTTTAAGGATAAGACTGGCCACCCTGATTTAGATGAACTGCATATTTCTTATATAAATCACACACACTATTAGTCAAAAGTTTTTGCACGCACTGATATTTTCTAATTTCCATGTTACTCATTTATTAAACATACACTCAATATTCTTTGTTGACAAATAAATTTACAGTATGTTCACCATTTGAGAACCTTTATTAGCAGGACAATTTCATATCTTTCATTCATTTAGCAGTTACTTTAGCAGTTACAAAAGCAGAGGAAGTTTAAGGCATTCTTTCTATAAGGGACATTAAATACTGCTCTGTTACATAGGATGAAAGTTAACTAGTGCATTTAAAGTTAAATGACAGCCTAGAATGTGACTATGTCATCACCACATAACCAGTTAATAGGATGTCAGACATGCACTGTTACATACTCTTTCCGTGGTATAAAGGAAACTTATTTTATTTGATACATATTTTCATTTATAGTTGTTCATTCAACTTTCCAGTGCTTAACAAGAATTAAAAAAATCTGCAGTTTTTGAAATAAATGGAAAAGTGTTTAAAAACCTGCACTGTGCAAAAACTTTTGACTGGTCGTGTATTTGACTGAACTGGTAAAGGCAGCCAATGCACAGATTCCCAAGGCCTCTAATGGTCCATGACAACCTACCTGGCTAAAGAAGTAGCAACTCCTTTGGTAACTGGGGTATCAATCAACACGGCAGTTATTTATGGTCTGTTTTTATTATGTTTCATTCCTGCTCCCGACATGTTTTTACATATAGTATGTATATGATTCATAAGTAAAAATACAAAGCATACAAAATACGATGCATATATATTTAATATTTTATCCCTTGATGTGTAAAAATCTCTCGACCAGTCAAATCAAGACTGGGTTGTGACCAGGGGCGGATTAACGCACAGGCTAGATATGGCTTAAGCCTAGGGGCCCCACGTGTGCCTGCCTGCAAGGGGGCCCCCATTGGCGCGGAGGGGGGCGGGGTTGGGGGGCCCACAGACTACTGTAGCCTAGGGGCCTCTGTGCACCTTAATCCGCCCCTGGTTGTGACTTACAGCAAAACTCAGAAATATGTTTTGACTATAGTGTTATTTTATACGTAAGTATTATATGTATATATATATATAATATTTTTTCAAGAATTTCCCCCTGGAATCAACAAAGTTTATCTAACCTAACCTAATCTAATCTAATATATATAAATACACATTTTCATTGCAAAGTCAAAAAAATTACATCACAATTCTGTGCAAAATCTACGGGAAATATATGGAAGGTTAACTTCAGTCCAGAAGAGGTGACCCTAATATATTTTGAGAACAGGATGCCTCCTTCACTAGCTATTAAGACTCAGTCATCCCCGTTGATACTAAACCGAACACACGTTGTAATGTGGGAGATCCCATTACATATATACAGAGCACAACAGCTATACCATAAAAGCTATACCTACGTATGTAAACATTTTTAAATATTGAAATGCCACATATATAAGGTCAATTTTGTTTATATAGTATTTTTACAGCCAGATTCATATGCCTCTGTGTGGTAAAACTAGCAGTGATGTGATTTATTCCCAATGACCATTAGCAAATTAACGTGACACTTCCTGTCAGCTTGGCCCTGTTTCTCCCGCTGCTCTTCACCGCTGTTCCTTTTGTCCATTTCTCTGCCCTAATTTGGTCACCGCAGCCAGTCGACAGAGTCCCCCCACAAGCGAAACTGCTCTTCTCTCAGCCCCCCCCAGCCCCTAGATGAGGGGTGGTCATTCTGAAGTTGCCTCAAAGGCTTATTGAAGGACTTCATAATTATCGTTTAGTGCCATTCAGTCTCTGAGTGGCAGTTTGCTCGCTAAGGTCATTTGCATTTAATGTCATCCATTATAACCCTTCACTAAACAGTACAGCTGAGGGCTGCACTGACTTTTTTAAAACATGTATAGATAATACACACCAGAGTGGACTCTGCTTGACCGTGGTATACTTGAGTAAAGCTCTTAAACATGATTGCAATAAAAAATTTATGGGAACCCTTTACTTGAGAGGACACAAGTAACTTAGTAACTCAGTAACTACTCAAGTACAAACCATGAATAAAAATAGTAACTGCATGAAATACATGAACCGCCGTGACTGATTAATGATGAACGGGCCCCTATCTGGGTGTCCGGGCAGTTTTTCAAAAATTGGCAGTTTGTCCAGGTTTAGATCTGCAAGTCATATGAGCCTGTTTTGCAAGTTACAGTGGAGCCAAGTGAAGGAAAAGCCACTCAGTATCATCACACGGTGTCTGCACGGCTCGTGCACACGGTTACGACATGCACATCCCTACGTGTCACGCTGCTCACGAGTGACATCAGCTTCCAGAAACCTTTTGGCACTTTGACACTATATTTTTGTTTTCGTGTCAACAGTGAATCGCGTCGTTTGCTTGAAGTTTAACAAACTTTAGCTTAGTGTTTTGTTATTTTTGTTGACAAAGACTCCTTTGACAAATGTTCTTTTCACAGGGTGGGTAGGGAAAACTTCATTAATATTCCTGAGAGATGCTCAACGTGATTGGGCGGTGAACGTCAAAACTCATTAATATTCTGATGCCTGGACGCATCTTCTTGTTCATCTTTCCAAATATGATAGTTCTACACCTGCCTTACAGTAAACAAATGTAATTGCATTACCATGGGAGACAGTTTTTTTGTTCTGTCATAGACACACACTGTATATATTACAGAGGATTATACAGTTACTTGAAGCTTGGCTGTTGTAATTGGAATGAATGAATTAGTTGATTAATTCACGTTGCTTAAACCTGCATTTAATTCCTCTGTCAAATGTGTCTGTGATGTAGACAGAAGCGGGGTCACGTCACCATGGAGCCCTCCTCCTCCTTCTCGTCTGGAAACACAACAGCCAGACCCGCCAGCAACACCTCCCAGCTGCCCTCAGATCCGTCCTTTCTGAAGAAGCTGGCCCACCTGGATGAGGGCCTCTACAACGACTTCTACAGCGTGTGGATCGCCCTGGTGGTCATCAACATGCTGATCTTCGTGGTGGGCCTGGTCCTGAACAGCCTTGCCCTGTATGTCTTCTGCCTGCGCACCAAGCCCAAGACCACCTCGGTGGTGTACACCATCAACCTGGTGGTGACGGATCTGCTGGTGGGCTTGTCGTTGCCCACGCGCATCATCCTGTACTACAGTGGGGGGAAATGCCATGTCTGCTCCTATGTGCACATCTTCAGCTACTTCGTGAACATGTACTGCAGCATCCTGTTCCTCACCAGCATCTGCGTGGACCGCTACCTGGCCATCGTGCAGCTGGAGGCCTCCCGTAAGTGGAGGAGCCCCGGCGTGGCTAAAGCTATCAGCGCCTGCATCTGGCTCTTTGCCTTCGTGGTGACCTACTCCTCCCTGACCACTGCCCTCAAGCAGGGAGCCTGCTGCCTGTCCAAGCTCTTTGCGCTCACTGTCTTCGAGTTCTTCCTGCCACTGGTGGTCATCGCAGTGTTCACTGCGCGCATCACCTGCGCCCTGGCCGGGCCGCGCCTCATGCAGCAGAGCCGCGAGCGCCGGATGCGGGCGGTGCAGCTGCTGCTCACCGTGCTGGTCATCTTCACCGTCTGCTTCACGCCCTTCCACGTGCGTCAGGTGTTGGTGTACTTCTACCCGGACATGCCGCACCATGTCATCGTCTACCATGCCACTGTCACCCTCAGCAGCCTCAACAGCTGCATGGACCCGGTTGTCTACTGCTTCGTCACCAACAACTTCCGCTCCACGATGAGGGCCATCTTCCGCAAGGCGGAGCCTGAGCACACCAGCGGTGACGTCATCAGCATGCAGCGCAGCTCCCGGGGGTCTAGGGGCTCGGGCTCACCAGCTGCCGACGCCCACGGCCTGAAGCTGACGGAGCAGAATGCCCCCCAACAGGGCAGCCTACCTGCCTGAAAGACTGGACCAATTTAGGGCTGGACTTTGGCAGTGTAGCTACGCTGTGCACATCTGTACAGACTGCCAGTGAAGGGGGGGGGGTGCAATTTGGGTTTGGGGGGGCACAGGCCTCATATTCCTGTATAGTCGATTCTCGCACATGCAGACCAAAAATTTTTTTTTACAAATTTTGCAATTGGATCTCAGATTCTATGCTTTTTTTATTTGATCATGTGTCAATGAAAGAGTGGAGAGTATCTCATAATGAAGTCCCTTTTTAAAAGTGATCTGGGATTATGGGGTCTGAAATGGAAGATTTTTAACAGCTGTAATGATGAAGTCAGATAGTTGGTTAAGAGGGTTATATACATTCATTCTAAAGTTAGGCTTATGTACATTAACTACTATAAAATGTGTAATAGGTACTGCATTGTATTGCATTGTTGTGTTTGCTCTAAAAATAATGTAGGCTGTTAAATAATTACATTATGGGAATTTACCAGCCAGTCACGTGACACCTCTTAGACGATACATTGAGGACTTGAGGAGAGACCTTGGGAATTTGCGACTACGTCACAGTAACCGAAAGCAGCTATAGGGTCATGGTTATATTAATGTTAATTCTGAAGTAGCCCAGTCCATCCTAGTAGGAGAGAGGCCTTTTGCCACTCTGCACCGTTAATGAACATAGATAATTTAGAATGTCAAAAAATAATAGCGAGTATGTTTTCAACATCATTAAATGTGGCTCCTTCTTATCCACGTGTTCTTCAGTCGTAGCTGCATTGTTGAACATTTCAGTGCTTGTGTAATAATGTTTATGTACATTTCTGCACAATGCTTATTAAATAAAGCTAAATAAATAAACACTATATTCTTAAAATTTATTTTAATTTCTATTGTGTTGTTTATCGTGGAAGGTATCCTGAGTGTAATCTCACCCACACATGCGGATGCACACGGTTAACACAATCTAGGTTTTTTCCATATCTATCGTAAATTCTCCAGCGTCTGATGTCTCCCCGTTTATGGAAGGTTTACACAACTGCAGCCATCGGGTCTTAAAAGTAAAAGCCGCAGCCTCACAATATCTGCTGTAGTGTATCCGACTTCCTGCGGTCATCACTGTTAAACAATGAAAACGACCTCAGTTTACTATGCAGACTTGAACATGGCATCTATAATGTAAACATTTTCAGTTTGTTTAAAATATTTTTCCGCTAAGTGCAATGAGAATGGACGGTACGTATCCGGTACCTTAAGAGTGCGCTTATCGATTTGCAGATAGACAGATATAGATTACATATGTCCAGGGGCGTAGCACCAAATTCTGGGCCCTATGCACAAACAGTGCCCATGCCCCCCTCCCCCTCAAAAAAAAAACAAAAAACAGCCTAATCACACAAGACTTCACTGGAATTTGGTTTTATTTGTAGAATGATTAAAAGCTATGACAGGATGTCACCAAAGGTAGCCTAACATCATAGGCCTGCATGAAAATTGAACACTTTTGAAACGGTGAAACGGTTTCACCGCTGCATTGTTCAAATTACCATGCAAATGCGATTTCAATACGCGGAAGTACGGCTGTTTACAATGTGAATAGCGATCTTCACGCGAAGGCGGTACTACACGCCCCCCATGCAGGTAAAACAAATAAAGGTGACATGGTTTACTTTTTGTCGATTTAACCTAATTTTAAAAACTTTAAATAACTCCGAAAATGGACATCTTGGAAAGAAGACAGATTACAGATTTAGCCAGCGTTTTTTCCCATGATTCTACACAAACATTTCAGTGAGATATAAACTGAAATAGACAAGAAAGATGCGCGGCATCGTCGAACCTAGGGGGTTAAGCAAAAAAAAAAAATTTGACTTATCTAGACTAAATCTATGTGTAATTTCGCGGTGGTATTGAAGTGTTTAATAATAATAGTTCATCTAATGTAGGCTATTTGCTTTCACATTTGGGCTCACCTTTCTTGGGGGAAAAGTTTGTAAGCAGTTGCTTTCCCTCATTTTTTTTTTGTTTCTTTCCTGCCTCACTTTTCTTTCCTGAAAACCGGATTTAGCTTTCTTTGGCATCATCTTCCAGCACGGATTCAGCAGAATGACCGCTAAATTAAATGCGCCTAGTTAAAAAGCCCGGTAAAGACTAAACCATCGCAAGGGGTGAGGGTGCTTTTCCTCAGGCACTGTAAGCTAGGACACAATTCAATCTGTCAACCGATTTATTTTCCCACAAAAATTACATTTACATTAGTTAGCAACATTTATTGTGATCTTTGAATAATATTAATATATTTAAAGAAAAATAAAATTCCAGATTCCTTAGGGGCCCTCCCCCCACACGGGGCCCTGGTAACTCAGTCCCCTTTTTCCCCCCACTACGACGCCCCTGCATATGTCCTTTGCGCCTCAGAAAGAAATAAATCGGCCATTTGTTAGATAAATTCTCTTTTTTCTTATATTACAAAAATATGAAAGTACTCACAGTTACAAACAAACAGGGAACTCCCATTGCTTTAATTGTACTGTAAGAAGGGCACGGAGCCATGCATGCGGGGCTTTTAAAAGTGTGCGGTTAAATTAAAGGTCAATTTTGTGCTAAAATCATGTTTGTTTGTTTTTTTATTGGTATCTCTGACCAGAAATGAATTTCTCGAGAGGATCTGTGAATTACTATATATTTTAATGCATTTTCACGGGGACGTTACGAATGAATAAGCAAGAATATTAATTGTAGCCATTTTGATGGATTTTTAGTTTCATTTACATGTTACGTTTTAAAAAAAATCAAGTGTAACTTAAACAAGCGATGTACAATACCCATATCAAATAAAAATAACTTTTTGATCATTTTTTTAGTTTGTTTTGTATTGTTTTCAAGTGGCAAAACAACGTACATAACGACAAATGTATATATTGCATCTTTAAGATGGTGATTAAAAATACATATGATACATTATATAAGATAACATATACTAATATACAGAGTATCTTATTCAGAACATCCGTACCTGACAGGGCTCCACCTCCTCTGATTCTGATTTAACCCCCTCAGTACAAGCTAATCCAGTCGTCGCGCAGCTGGATTTCATATTGTACTTATAAATATAACCACTAGATGGTGGTATAATACTAGATTAAGTAGCATATTTGAGTCGGTGGTTCTGAAGGAATGGAGTTTGAATGTTACATTAGATATCAAGGATAAACATCTAAATTGCCACTACTGTCATGTGAGAACGACCTTGACCAGAATTACCAATGAAAAATACAGAAGAGTGGTGTTTCTTTTCATATCCGCTATAATTGCCCGACTGTATGTGACAATAAACAGGAACTGTCACCGATAATGGTCTTATCAGCAACTTTAGCAAGAAGGTGCATAAATGTACCGTAACCGACCCATGTAATGGTAATGTCGCAGCTGCTGTTACCTTGGTCTTTGCGGTGCTGTTATGTGGTAAATGACATTTAGCAAGGCTCCAAGATCGTATAGTTTGGCTTTTAAATGGCATTATTAAACTTTAAATACTCTGCGATGAACAATAGGTCTTTCTTCTCCTTTTGGCAAAGCACCAAAAATGACTCTTACGATTCTTTAAGCTAACCATGTGACTGGAATAAAGCGGTATATTAGCTGCTAATCTACTGAGATCTGTAGCACATTAATTAAAAAGTAAATCAAGTCTGCTGAGCAGAGCCATGGTAATACATTCTGATAATGAAACATTTTTCACGGAGGGGACAACTTTAAACCTCTTGGGTTAATATTACCATTATGTTTTTAATTCAAGAGAAAACACAGTTTGTTTCTGACAGTGTGTGGTGCATATTTCAGTTTCTCATTTATAACAGATGTATTGTGCCACATGAATACCGCAATTTATCCACAACCACTGTCTATAGTTTAATAGAATCATCATCTAAAGTCAACCTGATCTTCCATTTGGCCATATTTAAATGTAATGTAAAAAAATATAGTATGTATTCTGTTTTACAAAGTTGACGGTCCAGATATAGATGGAGATGGACGGGTTAGTGCTTTGGCCTGTGTGCTACCATGTCCTGACCTTCATTAGCCTGTTGGGTGTGAAAGTAAGGAGACACTGACCTTAGAGATAATTGTCCACTTGACATAAAGACTAACCCAGTTTGGAGGGATGCCAGACTGAGCTCCTGGAACGCTCAGGCATCCCAGAGTCAGGACCTCACCAGTACACTGACTTCCCGTCTATTCAAATACTCCTCTGACTGAAGAAAGGACCATTCTCTTGTGACACGAACATTTAGAGTTTGGTCCCTTTTGTTCCTCTGTACTTAGAGTAGCTATTGTTTTGTGAATCACTTGAACAAGTAGAATTTTTTTTTCACAGATATATGGGGACCATGTGTGTGTGTGTGTGTGTGTGTGTGTGTGTGTGCAATGAAACAGCACCTTCCACTCCACAGTTTCCTCTGGAAAAACTAACAAAAGGAAACAAGAACGTCATTCATTCTGGAAGAGTAAGTTGTCATGTAATACTGGCTAGTCCTGAATAATACAGAAATATCTATCTATCTATCTATCTATCTATCTATCTATCTCAGGCATAACATTTAAACCACTGACAGGTGAAGTAAATAACATTCATTACCTCATTGCGATGACACCGGTGAAAGGTGCAATTATATATTAGGCAAGTGAACAGTCAGTTCTTGAAGTTGATTGTTGGCAGCAGGGAAAATGGGGGAAAACATTGGGGCCAAATTCAGCTTACTGCTGCATATAGGGCTGCGTAGCTGAAGACCGGTCAGAGTGAGCATGTGAGTGTCAGAACTGGGCTATGGAGCAATGGAAGAAGGTGACCTGGTCAGATGAGTCATGCTTTCTGTTACATTATGTGGACGTCTGGGCGCACCATGTGCGTCGGTCTGCACCATGCAGGATGTCCTATGCGAAGAAGGCAAGTGGGCCGAGGCAGTGTGATGCTCTGGGTGATGTTCTGCTGGGAATCTTTGGGTCCTGGCATCCATGTGGATGTTACTTTGACATATAGACCAACCACCTACCTAAACATTCTTGCAGACCAAGCGCACCCCTTCACGGCAACAGTATGCAATCCATGGAGGTCCCACCTTGCAACTTACAGGTCTTAAATGCTCACACGTACACATGTTTAAATCAATTTAATTTTGCCAGCATCTTTTCAGCACGTGTAATATGAGAGCAAAAGTGTGTTCTCATATGTCTTTATAATTTTGTGATCTGAATTTTTGTGGTTCTGTTAAATGTTAGGCCTCGTGGCAGAATCATTACTGACTCTTGATATGAAAATTAATTGTGTAACATGACAAAATACACTGAACTAATATTTGAAATGTCAAAGAAAAATATTTCTCAACAAACTGTGTTTTATAAAATTTAATCCACTAATCATCTACGATAGGACACATGAAAAGCTTTTATATGCGCATGTCTTCTTGGGTAGGTAGGTTGTTTATCTGTTTGTTAGAACGACCCCTCTCTGTAGGATTTGTCCCTCTCGGTCCCTTTAAATCTTAAAGCCCACCCCTATATTTAAATCAGCATGCATCCGTCAGCGGAAGCGGTGCGTTTATTTCCGACAGAAATATCTTTTTAAAGGAGAAGTACAGCGGATCATCTGCAAGGCGTCCCGGAGGATCGTCTTAATGCACCAAAACACGTCTGGAAAGGCGTTGAAAACTGAGGCATTATCCACAGTCACCTAGCCTCAGAGACTTAAGTCACTACAGAAGGAGGACGTCAGGTAAGCATTATTTAATTTTACATATATTTCTTTTTTTATTCCTTTAATTTTCTTTTAATATAGTGGTGTTTTGGATGTGTTTGCCTTTTCCTGTCGGGACTTTAATATTTCATCGCTGCAAATATGCAGTAGTATATTTTACTACCTTCTATCTCGGTATTAGCTGATGGCTCACAGATCATATATTGCACGTATGGTTGTCTATGGCACTTAGAGCTTAGTATAACATTATATCTGTAAGAAAGCTTGAAATCCCACATTTTCAATGCATCATCCGAATATCCCCGTAAACTGGCGAATGCCGACAAACGTGCCACATTGCATTTTGGAATTAATCGGCGCAACAGTCCTTGGAAGTTGGAGGCTATAATCTTTATACGGGAACGCGAGGCACCGAGCGATGCTCTCAAATTACAGGTGCACGACTCGCTAAGGGGACTGTGCATTGCTGTGTGCTCGTGTACGCGCAAGGAAAGGGGGCTGCAAAATAAGCATTTCCACGATGAAATACACTGAAAACAAGCAGAATTATAAAGGGCACGCGGGCACCTCGCGATCCGATTCCCCGCGGTGCTGCTTCAGCCGGCGTCTTGTGTTAATAAAAAAAATATATATATAGAAAAACAACTTGGCACGGTTGTCCTGAGAATGGCGCTGATCAGTCTGTATAACACAACGGATCATGTGTGCATCTACTCCATATGTACCTTTATAATACCCGGCAAATATCATATACGTTAACTGCTTAAAGTAAAGCTGTCTTAAGTGCTTTTTAAAAAATAAATAAATAAATAAATAAATCCGACATTTTTTGTATATTAAATAATACAAACGCAGCAGCTGCAGTTCAGTGTTCGTTTCGCACCTTCTTGTTTGTAAACCTGGGGGGAATCAACCCAAGCTTAGACAGGGGGTTCTTGTTGATCGTTTGTGGTCGCAGCCTCGGAAGGTTAAATTACGGGACTATAACCTTAATGTTGGGTCCTGCACTCCTGCTTATGTAAAACCGACCCGGACAGCGCTGTTTCAAATGACACTTGCTAGTGTAACTGCTGGTCCGAGTCCCTTAATTTTACGCGTTTGTAACGCTGGACCTTATTTTGTGTCGCATGTGTGGATCATTTAGTTATTCCCGTGAATGAAAGTTTATGGGACATAAAGCAAGCGGGCATCGCTTGATGATGATGATACGGGCCTCCTCACTGGGAATTATGTAACTGCATGTAGGGGATGGTGGCTGCGCTGCGTCGGCATCTGCATTGTAGCGATGGATGCATTTAAAATGCACGCGTGACATCCTGCCTAATACAGATAATATTGCTTCTGATTCCCGATCTAATTCATTAATTGATATGACGACATACTTTTACAGGTTTGATAATGAATGAAAACAAAATGAAACACTCATTTTGATTCTTGGAGGTGACGTGTTTATTAATAGTAATAAATGATGCCTACTATTATTATTTATCCTACTGGTAATAATTATGAATAGCTTCGAGGAGATGCGCCAGGTTCGGCGGAGCGGTCCGGATCCTGCTTACAGCTGCACTGCGGGGAAATGCCCTATTTCATCAGCGTCGTTGACATGTTCACTAACATCGCCGGCATAAACGCGATTAAACTTAGTATCGAGATTGGTTTTTAACCGTTTCGTTTACTTTTTGAAAGAAGGAAGTTATTCAGTTGCCCTTTCTGTTGTTTTTTATTATTTTATATTATTTTTATTTTCTATCACTTTTTCTGGTGTGTGTGTGTGTGTGTGTGTGTGTGCGTGTGCGATTATGTTTATATTACATTGTGGGGAACATTTGGTCCCCACAACGTGATTAAAAGCCTGTTATTTTGACGTTGTCAACCATTTTCAGGTCCCCACAAAGATCTGCGAATGCAGTCAAAAAACGTATTTTGTTTGGTCACTTGGGTTAAGGTCGTCATGTTGGGATTAGAGTTTTCCCCATGGAAATGAATGGAGGGTCCCCACAAATATATAATTACAAACCTGTGTGTGTGAGAGAGAGAGAGAGAGAGAGAGAGTGAGTGTGTTTGTGTGGGTGAAGGGGCTTGCGCAGCATTGCAAATACTTGAGGTGTTACACGGGGTAAAGCTGTTTGCTTAAACTGTCTTCGTTTGACCTTTACAGGTGCCAAGGGTGCTGCCCTGTTGAAGTGGAACTAGGCGTACAGCAGCTTTCTAATCTGCTGCTGAATGAAGTCAGCAGATATTTATGAAGCATTCGCGGCCCTTTGGTGAGTTGTTAAACTACGCTTGTTTTTAGTCAGAGAATCTGCAGTGGACATATTTTTTTCCCCCAGTGTATGGTTGAATCAAGCTGGTTGAAACTCAAATCAGTTTAGAGCGATCCAGAACAAGCACTTTATAAGTTAGAATTCCCCCTAGATGCCCACACAGCCTTGAAATGATAAAATGGTTACAAGAAATGTTTATGCTGTGTAAAGGTATTTTATAACTTGAAACATCACTGGGTGTTTCAGGAAGATGGTCTCTGTTGTAACACGATGCACACAATGACTCCAGCACAAAACACTGATGATATGTCCAAGTTGTCCAAGAAGATGTATGATTAACTGAAAAATTTTAATATAAATAAAACTATCAAACCTGTGCATTTTACTGATAGCTCTCGCCTTATCTGTAGCTTTTAGCTTGTCATGGCTTCCTGTCGGGATTGTATTGGGGTGACCCTGGACTTTGGGGTGACCCTGGACTTTGGGGTCCCCCACGGTAAATTTCCCGGGGGGGTGTCCCATGATAACTTTTGTCAGTTGATACATTTTGCTCACCTTGTGATGATGCTGCAGTGGATCCCATCCATGACAAGCATGCATCCATTTAAAAAAAATCCGAAATCATCCCTAAATTTACAGTATGTAGCCGCTGACATCATGCAGGCTCACACCTCATGCCGAGAGTTTCTGGTCACCCAGTCACATGTTTACTCCCTGCCTACTAGCGACTTTCGCTAATCCCGCTAATTTCTGCTTGTGTATTTTCTGAACAAACAGTTTAGCTTTTCTAAGCATGTGATTATTTATTCTTTCCCCCCCCCCCACCTTGCTGACATGGCAGAAACACGGTCCCAGCTCGGTCTGGATCTGTTTCTGCTGTCACACTGGAAACGAAACCATCACTTCCCATTAGCGCCTGCGGCTGCTGGATGCTAACGCCGCATCAGCTGATTGTCGACTTGCATAAGGAGCGTTGCAGGGCACGTGAGGCCCATGTGAGCCCTGGCGGCTCGATCGCAGATGTCAGGGGCAGCTGTGAATTGTTCGAGACGTCTCTCTCGAGGGCCGCAGGTGACGGGATGGTTGAGTCGGACTGATGGTGGAAAGGCCGCGCATCCGTATGTCCGGACGCAGACTGCCCTGGGGTAGTCTCGGTAAAAGCCCCGCAGTGGACCCTAAGCTGTCCCCTGCGTAACCCTTTCCGATAAAATCGCCAGACACGCTAATAAGCGCCATTCATCCCTGCCATGTTCCGCCTGCCAAATTTGCTGAATAAAGTCCGTACGATTACAGAGCCGGCGAGTCTCACCTGTTCAGAGACGCGTCCCTTAATTACAGCGCACCTCTGTTTCGTAACAGAGGAGCCCATTACTGAGGAATGCTAATTCTGCCCTATTAACCCCCATCCCATGCTCCAGGCCACCATGAGACTGCGGTGATTACCTGTTGGCACAGGGTCCATCTCGGCGACACCGCCGGGCCCCGATCCATGGAAATGTGTTTCACTTGACATCTCGTGTCTTTGCAACGTGTCTGCAAATATGCAGAATCATTTGTTCCCCCCCCCCCTAAGCTTTGCAACCCCCCCCCCTTCCCTGTTCTGTTTGATATTTAAAGTGCTGCCCCCACCCCCCCAATGCAGTGCTAATAATAGCCCATTTGAAGAGGGAGCCCTTTCAGCGCCCATTGAAGATCCCCTGGCATTGGGTCTCCACATCCCGCACCCGGAGAGGGACACTGGGCTCAGTCGCTCTCTGGCTTTAGGCTGGACAGGGCCACGCAGGTGTTTCTGCAGTAGGAGCTCAGTGGCGCCCCCATAAGGACCTCCTTGATGACTGGGCAGCTCTTATTTCTGCAGCTTTTCAAAGTAATACCAACTGTTAACAGTCTGACTTTGCTGCTGCTGTCTCCACCTTGGTTTGCCTGTTCTCTCATCCATCTGTCTTGCAAGTGCTTATTTTGAGCAGGGTTTGGGGGCGGGGGGGGGGGGTGGGTTTGGGATGACACATTATGGGAATGTTAGAGATGCCAGTTAGCTTGGCTGTATGTTTTTGGGCTGTGGGAGGAAGCGCATACGAGGCAGAGAACAAGCAAACTCCACACACAGAGCAGGGGGCAGGAATGGACCCCCCCCAATCCTGGAGATGTGAGGCGACCGTGCTGCCCGCAGAGTCTATCGTTGGGTGATGACTTGTTCTCCACCGGACGGACGCGGGTGCGAGTCACACTAGGAAATGAAGGTTGACATTCCCAGTGCAGAATCTTCATGGAGCTGTAGTGTGTCTCTGCAGACTGGGCCAGAGCTGGTGGCACATGGTGAAGGCGGAGCTACAGGAGGCGGGGGAGCCCCCCCCCCCTCCACCACTGGGGTTTTTCCATTTGAGAACCTCTCTCTCCGTACAAGCCAAAACTGAAATAGAGCCTTTAAACCGCAAGTCATTCGCAGGCAACTTGTGTGCTGACCAGGTTTCCTGGATTTTTGGTTTTGGTCTCAGCAGTTAGGGTGTGCGTGCTTGCGTGCCGGTCTTTGCATGCACGAATTTGTGGGTGTTTGATTTATCGGACAAAATTCTATTTTTTCCCCCCTGCCCCAGTTTTCCCTCTTTGACTTGGCTCCAAACTAAGACCAAGTATTTTTCTCCAGAATAGCACATCAGCGGGATTGGTTAGTTAGTTGCTAACGGTAACCAGTTCATATTGTATTCCCATTGTTTTCACTATGTAGGTCTGGGGGGGGGGGTGGAGCGTGGAGCCTATCCCAGGCAGCACTGGGCACAAGGCTGGGGTGCAACCTGGACAGGATGCCAGTCCATCACAGGGCACACACGCAGTTATAATCCATGGGCAAATTGGAGATGCCAGTTAGCTGAACTACAAGTCTTTGGAGTGCAGGATGGAACTGAAGCCCCTGGATGAGGGGAGAACATGCAGACTTTGCGCACACAGCAGAGGTGGGATTTGGAGCTTTTCCACCAGCAGTTGCTACTTCCTGAGCCCCCTGTGACATCACCATGAGCCTTTTGCGGTAAAAAGCTCTCATTGTGTCTAAATGTGCAGGCAGGTCCCTCAGCTCAGCGACGGCTCCGATCGGACGCCTGAGTCACTCATTTAGGCGTCTTCACTGTTACGCACGGACCCTCAGCCCCCTTTACTCAGCACAGCCCGCTGTGACTCTCTTACCTGAGAAATGTCATGGGTACCAGCACTGTTGAAGTAAATCCATCTTACCAAAAGCGTGCAGATGCATGACATGCCAGCATGTTGGACTTTTGTGGCGGGATCAAACGGCAGTAAGAACATAAGCTTGGTGGACGGAAATGCCCTGAATCCAGTCCATAAGCTGCCTGCTTTAGGCGTGCAGCTGTGACACCACCTTTGGATGGGTTCTGCCAGCGCCCCCTGCTGTTGACTTCCCTTCTCTCCCTTGGCGTCCTACTCGTCTGGTTTGGCGTTCCGGTTTTGAATTTCTTGGCTATACTTTTGGATTTGATTTGGTGATTCAGTTCCTCACCTTTGTTGGTTTTGAGCTGGTTCTGCCTCTCCCACATACCTCACGGTCAGTGGCAGTACTGGTGTCAGAGCTGAACACTCAGAAGCTCACCAACGAGGCAGGAGAGGACAGGGAGTCCGAAAACCTGGCCAACAAATCCGTGTGCGGTCTGAGGTGTGGCCGTTTGCCTCTGTCGGTGTACCTTGCTTATAACGTTATTTACTAGCTCTGTCCCGTTGCCGTGATACCGACCCCTCCTGGGACAACATCTGGCTGGTTTTGTAATCGATCATTATCTCTGTTGATGATAGTGCAGGCGGAGATAAACAAATAAACCTGGCATTAGAGAAATCGGCATATTTGGGTTGTAACGAAATCGCCGACAGATGCCATCAGCTCATGCATGGCTGATGCGCAGTGTCACCCTTTGCGTTTCCCGTCTGCACTCAGGTCCTTGCAAACCAGGGATGTCATTTCAGGCCACATCGTCACTCAGAAGCAGCATAGTTGAACCGCGTGGTGTCACGCCGCATCATCAGACACCTCGCTGGATCGGAACTTTCTAGAGAACAAGTGGAATTTCCAGGAAATTCTATCCATGTTGAGTCCAGCCCTGCAAAATATTTTTAGTTTCCTTTTTTTTTTTTTTTTAGGTAGCTTATTCAGTATAAATCTTAATGTTAGTAATATTAAAATTTCTGTCTCCTTCTCCGGAGTGAATTTCGGGAAGCCGACCCAGTAATGCCAAATGAACGTGTCGTGGCATTTGTACTGCTGTGACTCTCCAGCTGGTCCTAGCCACTGTGGGGTGCTCTTTGTATGTCATTAAATGTCACATGATGGGGGATAAGTGACACCATGGGTACATCCATGTCACCCTCAAACCAAAAGTCATCGCACAACAAAGAACTTTTGTTATATTTCCACAACTCATTAAGTCTAAAGTCTACTGAAACTTATCTGGTGGACTGAGTGAGATTCAGAAAATTGCTCTTCATTCAGCCTACGGTTTTGGTGGGGGGGGGGGCACCGCGCATTATGGTACTTCCCCCCTTTGGCAGGAAGCACGTCAGTTGGGTTAACTCAAAGGCTTTATGTTTCATTCTTACGGTAACAATCGTGACAGGGGTGAGCCATGTCAGCCTGACAGGTCTGTGATGATCCTGCTCAGAGTGACCCCCCCGCCCCCCCCGGGCACAAAGCTCTATCAGCCCTATAAATAACCTTCAGCCCTGGCATCCAGCTTCACGCTTCACACAGTGTCTGTCTGTCACTATGTGCTGGGGAAACTGTCCAGGCTGGCTAGACCCGACCCCCTACCTCTCACCTGCAGTGGGGGGGGGGGATTTCTAAAGCAGCCCCTCGACCAGGTGACCCCCACCCCCAAGAAACCACTAAACCAAAGGCGCATGTTTGCAATTTGTAAATGAGATTAGACGTCACTGTATAATGCAAGTATAGCTGCAGTGAAATGGGTTAAGAACAGCGACATGGTGTTCAGTACCTGGGG